AAGTGGTCCGTCACCGTCGGGGACCCCATCCCCTCCCCAACATTCAGCATACGGTCCCAGCAGAAACGCCAAAAGGGCTGGTTTGCTCACCCCAGGACTAAGCCTTGGAGGACCCGTCCTCTCTTTAAGGCTTAGTTCTGAGGTAAGCATCAAATTGTGGCGGTTTTAAGGACCGAGTTGAAGTGGTCCGTCGACCGTCGGGGACCCCATCCCCTCCCCAACATTCAGCATACGGCCCCAGCAGAAACGCCAAAAGGGCTGGTTTGCTTACTTCGAGAACGAGTAGGTGCCTGACCATGAATTTTGTTGGTTCAGTACGCTTCTTCGCCTCCTGGTCTGTTAATCGCCTCAACACCTAGTGTCTTTTATATTGGTTGTACCGTCGTCTTGTAAACCCGTCCACAGCCCGAAAAGGACAACCTTTTCAGCGCTTAGTCTTTTTTACAGGTGGTTCACTTCGCACGTCTACTTTTGTTTGCAATAACCAACCTAATTGATCGTGGGGTGTGACTTCAAGCGACACGCTAACGGCGTGTTCCCAAATAATTGATATTCATCATAACCGATGCGCGACTATGTATTGTGTGGCAATAAATTTGCAATCAGCGACCAGATATAATGTGGTCGCTCACTGCCGCGCCATTCAAAAGCAAACTTGATGAATTTTCCTCCCTGCAAATGTACAGAATTCAAAGGAGAGTTTAATAATCTCCAAGTTCTCACTTCATAGAACCTCGGCATCGTTGTTGAATTCTGTGTTATTTCTTCTGCCAACGAGGTTTTTAGGTGACAAATTTATTAGCGGCCTGACGTTTCGACCCGATCGTCTTCCTCAAAGGCCAGTCTGCCACCGCAAGAGCGGAACAATGCCACTCTAGTTAGTAATGGTTAGTAAATCGTCATCAGATCGGGTCGAAACGTCAGGCCGTTAATAAATTTGTCACCTAAAAACCTCGTCGGCAGAAGAAATACATGGAATTCAAAGGAGTGGTTTTCCTTTTTGAGATATGGTGATTTGCACCGACAACATAAGAACAACCCTTCGCAACAAAAAATGGTCTAAAAACGAAAGCAATATTGGGAGTGTTCAGAGTTCAGTCTTCGAAAGTTTCTAAGGCATCCCAAGCCAGAACATCTTACACATAGCACGCATGGCTTATGGATCGATTTGCGAATCGTACCCAACCCACAGTTCGTTATATACAGGTGGTCCAAAATTATGAGGACCGCATGCGCGCGCGGTCATATCCACTTTTTTCCAAGTCGCTCCATTTTCATTTCCTTTTCTGTGCACCATGTGATAGGGTACAGTGTATTCTTCCTTTCGAAACTAAACTTCATGCAGTTCTCAAAACTAGTGAAAGAGCAACACCTCCTTATGTCATTCCTCAAATTGAACTCACTAAGGGCTCTGGCACGTTACATCTAGCGGCAGTCTAACGTATCAGGAAAGCTCATTTGGGCAACAGTTCAACTCTTCAATAAGTTTGGAACCACCACAGATGGAAAATTCGGAGACTCGAAAGTTACAGCTACCTACCAGGACAATTATCAGATGCAGAAACTTGCTCTCCCCTTGTCGACTTTCGTACTCCCAAAATGAAAAAATCGATGTGAAAACCCAGCCAGGCACTCTAAAGACTCCACATCTATAGTGGATAGGAAGCCACTCGAGTACCATACTTGGGACGTTTTACTGGACCGAGCACCCAAGAATAGAGCAAAAATTCTCTAAAAAGCTATTTTTCGAGTTTGTTGCTCTCGAAGAATTGTTACAATGGAACCTCCACCTAAACAGCTCATAGAATTCTGTATTTTACACCTCTGAGACATGGGTAAATGAATGCCCCACAAAACGTTGATCCCCTGAAGAAAGCAGAGCAGAGAGGCCTGGAAACATTTTGACACGCCTCAGTTGCGTGCCACCGCACGCGCCACCCCCTTCGTCTGAAGGCTCGTGTAAACGCGGCAGGTGGCAGATCTCAATTCTATTCTGGAATTACTTTGAGATACTAGTTGCAAACACTTCCCTGTAGTTTGTTTGCTCCATCAAGCTACTATGCGTTTTTAACGACACAATGTCTTGGTCCTCATAATTTTGGACCACCCTGTAAACGATGATGCATTCAAATGCTGCTAAGATTGCGGATCGAAATCGAAGGCGCGGCGCACCTCAAAAGTGGTGTGGTCGGCGCAGCACACTTACATCCCTTTTTGGTTTTTGCAAGTCGCAGCTATGATAACGGTTAGCTAACGTAGCACGTGGATGCATTAGTCACCGATCAAAAATAGGGACCGCACATGGATCAAAGTTGTCAGTTGTCTTCACGTGGCTTTCCCAAAGGAGTTAAAAGCTGCAGTCTTTCGCCAGTGATAAGCCCAATTGCAACTTAGGAACCTCTAAAATTCATACAATCCCCGTTTAGATAGAACGCCCGCCGCTCCCCCACAGAATTACCTATATGGCTGGATCCCTCTTACCACCACTGTCGACCGTCGCAGCCATTTGCCACCCAGTAACAAACGCCCCCTGAAAGTTTCGGAGTCCGAATTTAGAAACTGAGGGCTGTGCCAGATCAAGGACAATAACCAATGGTCCAAGTGATCACTAAAGAGTCCTTTCTTGTAGAAAAACATCTTCCTGCGCGGCTTACACTACTGAAAATAGCACAGCCTAAGTAACTTCAGGATAAATAACAGTGATTTCAAGAATGCTCGAAAATAGTATTGGATGCACCTTTCACCTTTGACTCGAACAGTAAGCAGTTTCTCACTCTTTTATAGAAGAGAAAACATCTGGAACCTAGCAATCTACAAACAATCTCGTACTATCTAATTACATCTACTGATTACTCCTACTTACTTCAAATATCTATGACAAGTTATTGTCGTATGCAGAAGACCTAGAAAAGTTAATCCAAAAGACTATTTCAAGGACCAAAACGAGCCCAAAAACAGAGGAAATCGAGGTATAACAAACAGACCAGACTAATGATGAACACGACTTAGTAACGGTATTATTCATGAACCATGCGATCCTTCGAGTGGAAGCAAATACACGCAGGTCACCCGCAATGAAAACAGAACCAAATCAGTCCACTCAGTTACGTTGACATTTCTTCGAGCAAAACTCGAATCCTAGCCGCTTCTTCCAGTGCGCCATTGGCAACTCCACGTGCCTGACGAGCTTTCCTCTCATTTTTGTCAATGATGTGCGGTTTCACCTGTGAAATAGAAAAATCTGTCCTAAAACAAACTAGTTCTCATGTTCTATCGAGCAACCCTCACCTTTCCCTCGTGCCTATCCCGGAGCACAATGGCTTCGTATTTCTCCGCCTTCTTCTGAAATTGGTCACTTCTTTCTTCAGACTTCTTCAAAAGTCGCTGCAGTCGGGAAACAAAGTCGGAACGATACGAGTCCTGAAAGCAGCCAAAACAATTTCACATCTTGAAATGAAAAAAAGCTTCTTAGAGCTACGCATGAATTCGCCCAGGCAAAAAGGTAAAATTGCATGTAAGCACAGAGACCATACAATCGTTTCTATATTAAACATAAAAAATCCTAACAATCTGCCTTTGGCACTCGAATTATGTAAATTTCATATTTCATGGAAATATTCGATGTCAGCTATCGACAGGGGACTGCATACCCGATCAATGACGATGATCAAGTGATGATAAAATGATGATAGCGATCGAGTCATCGTGGTTTTTACGATAACGAGAGCACAGCGTTTGTGGAAGGAGTGAAAATGTGCTCAACCAAGAGCGATTCAGCTATACGCCGCAGGTTTTTGTTGAAAAAGTACGAAAACTGGAAATGCTTAGCCCCAGAGAGGGATCCTCCCCTGAATGAGGCCGCAAGCATCAAAAGCAAACGGGATTTTGACGAAGTAAAATACACGCCTTCCAAGTTTAGTAAAATAGTGCCACAAAATAATTCAAAGAATCGGCCAATATACACATGATTACCTTTTTAAAAACCATACGATGTTGCCAAAACAGATCGATCTATAATTAATGGTGGTGGGCTTATACAAAGCTACTAGTTATCTTGAATCGATAAGACCTTATGCGACAGGGAAGAGGGCAAGACGAGGTGAAATGCCAGCGGACTGCATATCAATGGAGCATGACGCTTCAAAAGTCGAGCGATTGCGATGATAAAATAATATGGGAGCAAGCCGCGAGAAAAAGGTTGGGAGTATTGCCTAGCGGGTTGCAATGCAGTGCTATTGAAAACAGGTTTTTTATGATAAGCAACGCGAAAAATTAACATTTTTTTCAGGTAATAAGGTTTTGCATTATGACCTCGTGAATTTCGAGGAATACAGCACTGCCTTTCCGTGCGCTTTTTTGAACAAAAAAGCTGAAAGAGGTGAGCGAGGAAGTGGATATGAGCGTTAGAAGTTTGACACTAAGAGAGGCAATGGTTGTTCACTGTATCAATTTCGGACTTAGAAACACGGCTCTATGCCAGTCTCTACCAAGTGAAAGGACTAATATCCAAGTACACGCTTTTCTTATTCAGACCCACTCAGAGGGCACTAGACTTCACGCGCCAGGGCAGCAAAGGAGAGGATTAGCAAGTAGGTGCAGGATGAATGGAAGACATCCGAGTTCTAACAGTATTCAAAAGGATATGCTATAGAATTTGACCACTGAATTATACAATTGTGACACGAAGGGTAACTGGAAGTTGCTGAGTACAGCTCATAGTGAGGGGCGACGATTGTTAGCAGATGTCATATCTGATTCGGAGCTCATTTGATCTTTGTAGTTGGAAAACATGTAAGCACTCTAAGGAAAGTAGTGTGTTAATGCGCGGAATCAGAAAAACCTTTGTTATTAAATATAACGCCAATTTGAGAAAGTTAAAATAGAACTAAGGAAGCTGTAGCAAACGAACTTTACACAAAATCAAAAGAACTGCGAACCGAGATTCGGCCTCTTGAAGGAGGCGCTAGTAGACGGGTATTAGCCACTCGGAAGGCTGAGGGGGAATTGAAATACGGAAAGCATGTTCGAGCCAGTGTTGGCTGCACGATCACGCATTTAATTCAAATGTTTTTTGTTGAGCGAGTTGCTTGTCGATCTAGCGAGGGTCTTTTGTCCCAAAGGGCGAATGGACGCGATTTTTTGGTGGTCTACTAATACGAGTGATCTCGAAAAGAGAAAAAGCAACATGCAAAAAAAGTAGCACTTAACACAAAAATCACCAGGTAAACATCACATAGTGACCCCAGAATAAAGTTTTGCAACTCCATAAAGGCAAGATGCGGCATGTATTGCGACATGTGTTTATCCACCTGCTCCAAAGCGCCTGCTAACCGAGACAAAATCCATTCGTCCTTGAAGATAAATTGTAATTTCGCGATGCAAAATAAACAGGAAAAAGTAATATCAGCTTATTATACGAACCGCTGGATGATCAGAATCCACGTCCTTCATAGTGTGCGAGTTCTCAATAACCGTCTCGGCGTAAGCCACCATATTCCATAGTTTATTACAAAAACGAAGTCCCTAGAACCAATCATATTCACCGACCGAGTGCACCTTGAATGTTCTACAACCATTATCAAATAATTAAAACACGAAAGAAGGTTGTGGTTGGTTGCGATGGTAGATGTTGTGGCCGATAAATTGTCTCCCAGCAACATCATCAACGCACAGTATGACTTATGTAAAAAAATGCTAAAAATCGAATGCTCAGGAATCTGATCCTTAACGTTGTTCGCTTAAGCCTTAACATTACCATCATGCGACCTGTATCATATGCATTCGAACATGACATTTGAACAGTAGTGAAGAGTAAGGTTCTGATGGAGGGCTGTGTCTCCACCTTCTTCTATAGAACTTTCAGCTGGTTCTAGAGCACTTTTAACGATATCTTCCAGGAATTTGTATAGTAAGTTATACCTCTTCATAAAAGGCTGGGGCTCAGGTAGTTCTTTTCTCTATGAGCCTCGACAACAATTGCGCTGAAACTATCGCTCCCATGAAAATAAGATACCCATACTGGTAGAAGAAGACAAGATCTCGTCCTTACTTGAGCCGGTGATTTCCCTGAATGAATTAGTGAAGGGCGGAAGATGTGTAGTGGAGTGAAGCTTTTACAATCGGTCAGGGATTCAAATCCGAAACGACCATCGTCAAGGTCAACCAAGCCTTCCACCACTACTACAGACTACCCTGTGAGCGACAGGAAACAACTGCATGTTGTCTCATAGGCTGCTGCCCCCCCCCTCCAAGATCGTTGTAGTGGGCAAATCTAAACTCAGATGCCACACCGTCCTGAATGGACCGTAGGGAGATTCGCGCGCTTCAAGCGATTGAGCCGCTGAAAATGGACACCCTTCGTCCTTTGCGCTCTTATTTTGAGCTGAAAAATGCAGTAAATTGAGTTTCAACATTAAACCCCAAAAAAGCAAAACAAAAACGAAACCTCGCTCGATAAATCAGCTATTTTCAATGGGATGTCGGAAGCTAATAGATCGTGACGTAACAATGCGAAACGAAGTGCATCCGACGCAGCAGCTCGAACTATCCCGTCGGGGAATTGAGTCGATATGGCCGAAGTTGCAGTTACTGAAATGAAAAATGGCTCCCTCTTTTCATGAATACGGTTTATCATTTTTTTCCTCATCAGAGTACACATCCTACCTATTTCTTCTTTCGACAGGTTACTTTTTCCTATTCGTTCAATCATTTCATCTCTCGAGACTCCATCCACAACATCGAGAGGATTCGATTTACTTTACCGAGCGATTTACTCATCGTCTTTCCTGGACAATCTCGAGACTAAACCCATGTATAATCACAGTCGCTAAAGGGCACTTTGCTCCACCAGCACAGCGCTGAAACGGATCCACACCAAAACTAAAGGTGCGCTATATGAGCCGCTCCATATTCATTATAGCAAAACAACACTCCTCAACGCATTGGTCATAAAGATGCACATCACGTTGCATTGTGCACAATAATCATTCAGGCGACCCAGAATCCTAAAATGTCCCATCCTGTCTCCATAACATCCAGAAGCGGCGACGATGGGTTGAATTCCGAGCCTGGCCATCCCGAATTCACCAGTGGAATCAATGAAGAGCTTAAATACCATTAGGAGGTCCCAATTCTGCAAGCTTTCTCAAGATTCCTAGTTGAGATACTAAAATTCACAAACGATAGATAGCACCGTGTTGTTAATATGTTAAAGGAATCTTCCACGGAAAAAGCTCCGCCCTCATTACCACAGAAAACGATACCTTAAAGGAATCTTCCACGGAAAGAGTGATCATTTTGTCTTGTGTGTAGGATTAGTATTATCGAAACTAACGCTTATCCGTTCCGTTCTGCTCACTATGGCTGCATAGGAGGCTAGAGGGCCTAAGGTACCGGTTTTTTCCTGTTGTGTAATGGGAGCGCTGCCTTTTCCGCTGGCAGATCCTTTATGATCTTCACATAATTTCCACCTAGTAAGCAAAATGTCATACCTGAACCCAACGTCTCTAGCCCATCACATCTTGCACATCACAGCGTTCCATTACCAAAATCTCACGGACGCCGTTCATCCAGTGACTGCAAGAACCTTTCATGGGAACTAAACCCAAAAAAGGCTGTTGTCAGCAACCCAACTAACGGTACAAGTCCTAGAAACTCTATGGCGCAGCATTAGTTGCAGCATAATGTGAAACCAAATAAGCGCCGACCTCTTGTTTTTGTGCTTATTTCTTGTAATGTGATCGCTTCGGAGAACCGACTAAGAGAATGCTGGATGTCGAACGAAGCAGCGTGAATCACTGAGATCATACAAGCGAAAAGGTAGTTACTATAGGTTCTCACTTTGCAATTCCACTATATACTAAACATGTTTGACGTATAAGCATGTTTACGAAGCTATATTTTCCTCGACAGAGACCTTTCGGAAGAACCAACATACCTTTCGGATCGATACGCCGGTATACGATGTCCCCACAAAAGCTGCCTGCTTAGACACCACGGATCTTTGTTCGATAGCCAGTCAAATAACTTTTGTTCATAAATTGCTGGAAGTATCTTGATCTAAAATAAATAAATAATACTGCTAATATCATAGAAATAGGCACTGTTTGAAGCATGTATGACCAACCCTTTCCTTCCCTAACAGCTTGTGCTGCTTCCTCATAAAGTCCTTCAGTGTTCATGAACCACTGATCAGTGAGGCGAGGTTCGACAACGTCGCCTGGCAAAGATAAAAGTCAGCTGAAAAGTCTTTCAATTGCACTTAGAAAGCGTCTTCAAAAACTTCAGTGATCACTTAAGAAGAAAACTAAATGAAGGGACCAGAAGAACTGAAAAAAGTGTGACCCGATATCTCGAAAAATATGCTATTTTACAAAAAAGATTAGCAAATCACAACCGGTCTCCAATGCTCATTTCTCTATAAGCGAAATCGGGTCCGAAGCCGATACAAAATCAAAAGAATCACCTGTTCGACTGCAAAGCTTCACCTGGCCATCATGCTTCAGAGTGCCTTGGAAAAGACCACAAGAATCTAATTTCTCGATAATCTTGAAAATGGAATAGGTAAAGAATTACCTAAAGATGTCACTTGCAGAAATCATCTTTTACCTTAGCTCTGGCATCGAAACGATCAAGACCAGCAAATTCGTTTGCTGTTTGGTTTAGTTTCCCATGGATATCAATACAACTTCTTGTTAAAGCAGCCTGATCATGACGTAGAATTTCCTCCTGATGACGCGATGCGATCTCCCAATCGAGGGCGTCGTGTGAAGGGGTAACTTTCAAAGCGCCTGAACCATCAATCATCAGTGCTCTGGCCAAAGCACACACTTCGTCAAAGACCATCAAATCGTATAAGAATATGCTATGAGCAAGACATGAGTTCACTTATGTGAACAAAAAGATTTAAAAAAAAACTCTCGCACCGGTCCCTTTGTCCATTTGCACACTCTCATCAGCAATTATAGGGAGTTTCCGTTCTTGGCACAAGGGATGACGTACCTGAATCAAAACTCGTTGAAGGAGATGATGACTTAGGACCACTCTACGCAACGGGAACCTCTATGATTCTGTACTTACAAATTTTCCAACAAGCTGAGAGAAGCGGCTATCATCTGGGTGGACTGCAATCGCAACATCTGCGAACATTGTCTCTGGACGAGTTGTGGCAACAGGGATAAACCTAATGACATATTTATCCCTTTGAGGACTACAGACATAAGAAAAGTTCATACAATCACCTGTCTGAGTCATCCATAGGATATTTGACACAGTACATGGCTCCTACTTCGACCTCACGCTTTCCTCCTGTAGAGCTCGGAACCACAATCTTTGTTGAAGACGACAAGTCAATATGAGAAACCTCCTGAAGAAACTCTCCTTGAAAAATGATATTCAAATGAAAGGCAAAAGGATTTCAGTAAATGTCTAGATTTATTGATACCCAGCCTTCTCACCTGATCTGATATGGAGCTTTGTAAAGAAGGGCACCAATGCACTATTCGCTTGTCCCGATGGATTAGACCGTCTTCATGAAGCCTGACAAATGCTTCAGTGACAGCTGACGAAAACTTCTTAAAAAAGATAACTGCTTAAATAATATTGGAGTGGAGCTTTGAGGGAAACCTTAACTATTATAGCAATTTAAAATCAACGAAAAATGGGATCTATACATCGTTGAGTGTGTAATAAGCGCTTTTCCAATCCAAAGTTGCTCCAAGGATATTCAGCTGCTTACGAATCGCGGCGGAGTTCCTGGCGAAGAAAAAATTCTCGGTATACAACTGCTTGTATGGATCCGATCAATTAGAAGGCACACAATATATAATTTGCAGCAAGAACTGAAGAGCTTACATCTCACTCCATTGTCGACACTCTTCGACAAAATCCTGCCTACTCAACTGATCACGTCTTAATCTTTTCTTCTTCCAAAGTTCTCGTTCAACCACGACTTGCGTTGCAATTCCTGCATGGTCGAAGCCCGGAATCCATCTGGCCTAAGCGATGAGTGAAATCTTGCAGGAGGTGAGTATGCTGCAGATTTTTACTTGATTCAAATACAACTAGCTTACTAACTACGCCTCCTTTGATTCTATGATGTCTGCACAAGGTATCCTCGATAGTGACGGTCAAAGCGTGGCCGAGATGCAGCTTTCCCGTTACGTTTGGGGGAGGAAGTACCATACATAATTCCTTCCCTTAATATCAGCAATGCATACTGCATATAACAGAACGTTCTCATTCTTAGCAACCAAGCTTTGGCAAGACGACTTACTAACCAGAATTCCTGTAGTTCGCGGCGGCCCATTCCACTCGAGTATCGCGGTCCTTTGTTACAACATCTATGTCGAACGAACTTCAAAAAGAAGAAACTCAGTTCCTGCTTAATCACCTTAAAAAAGGCAGAACTACCTCTTCGCTTTTGTGCTGCACCGCCGCAAGCAACTGCTTGCACGACGACTTAACATTCCATTCAACTAGAGGAGCTTCACCTGCTTATTCACTGATTATTAAACATCCAAGCAGCGAACATGAATCTATTTCTTTTACAGAACGAACGGAATATTACTGTTTTCTCTGGCAAACTTCATATCGAGAATATGTATCGCCTCACTTATTTTCCCTAGCTATTTTTTCTCCAGTAAAGTCAACTCACCTTTCGTCAAAGATTTTACGCGAATCACCGATTGCCCAATCTTGTTTCCAAACTCCCGGCAGAGATTTATCGAACAACAAGAAAAACTGTCCCAATATAAACGTTCAATAAAACGAGACAAAAACAGATAAAACGAAAACACATATTCACAGGAAGAGATAAAACATAAAACAATATTCACAGGAAACTGCAAAGACGTCGTCAGAGATAGAAACGCAACCAGAACAAAGTGATTTAGCAGTGAAATTGTCAAACATCAGAGGAATCAGAAACATCCGATTAAGCAAAATAAAACCGTCCAAAATCGATTTTGGCCTTTCAAATACGAAGCAATATATGAAATAGTTCTGAACTGGCGTGTAGCAATATACAGTAGTCTCTATGTAGACTTCAATTGGTATTTAGTTGAAAAACCCGTGCTTACTTACAATAGGCGTATGCATAGCGCAACATTAATTGAAGTGCTCTATAACGAAACCATAACAAAAAGTATTGTAAAACCGCTGAACACCTATAAAACAACACAACTGTCCATATTTACAAAAGCTACAACCTGCAAACGATGCATGAGCATTGGAATATCGCATTGTACAGGTAATAAAACAACCAATTTCCATTGTTATTGCTTGCTAATGTAAACAAAACAAAAATGAAACCACGAAACTTTCTTTAAATTTTGTCGTTTTTAAGAGGATTGAGAGCTACTTGGACTCGATATTATCCAATTCTAAAATGAGCTTCCTCTCAGCTTTTAGCCTTTCACAAAATTTGAAAACTATGCAGGTGATGATTCTACCACCTAATCTCAAAAGCAATTTATGAAATTCGCATTATTTTGACAAATTCCAGCAGTTTTAGCGAATCAACACGAAGGTAGAACACATTTTTGAAATAGAACACCACATAAATTTTTTATGAGCATCCCAAGTCCTCTTATAAACGACAAAATCGTCGCATGCATTTGAAAACAACAGTTTTCTACACTAAAACGGATCTCTATGTCGCTGCTTATAACAACAGTCAGCTTCGTAGCCATCTAACAACCATTTTCTGTCAAACAAAGCTTCCCATACATATTAATCATATTAGTGAAATAAAACCCATAACTCTACTCAATAAAACTCTTTTTCTCCACTGAAACCGAAAGTGGGACTTCCATCTCATGAATCACATGCAAGATTCGCACCACTCTCGAAGAATTTCCGAAATGAATAGCGGCGATACTAGCTGAAAATCATACTTTCATTACGAAACTATACCACAGAAAGTTAGCAGTGCTCTGTACTTTCTTCAAGAAGAGGCATAGGCAAACTAGGCGAGAAAAATGACTGGGCAGAATGTCAAAAACATTCAAAATTGAAATTATATGTATGCACTTTACCCAGTCTTCCGTGTCACTTTTCGCAGCACCATGAAACAATCCTTGGCCCTCAAATTCCAATTCAAACTGGTCACAGAGTTGGCGCAGACGATGGGCAATTGACGTAGTTCTGGTGCAGCTCTGTCTATTTCCTGCAACAATTTTTGCACGGCTTTCTTACGCTTATCGCTGTGCTTGCTTTTGAAGCTCTTAACAGATAGTAGTAAAACACAGTGCCTTCAGTGGAAAACCAAATCGTACACACATATGACTGATGGGAATCCATCTACAACTTCCGCTCATAGCCGATGTCAGACTCTGCGAGGGGCACGATTTTGCACAAATTTCGGGAGCGACGGATCGCTCAAGCGACGGTTTGATATCGGCCTATCCGGAGCAACACCCCTCTTCCTGTCTATTCGCAGATTCTTAATATTATAAAGGCTAGCGATTATCCATCAGAAGGAAGCATCAAGTCTTTCGCTCACGATGCTTCTAACAAACAATTCTCAAACAATTTAAGCGAAATTGATAATAAAATGAAAGGAAAAATGAAGTTCAAGTTAACCGTCGAGCATCCATGGTGGCTAACACTATTTGTAGGTAATTAGATTAGTCAAAGGAAACGCCGTTGCTGCGACTTTCAGCCGGAATTTCGATGATCCGAATGATTGGACTTTTTTGACTCGATCAACGAGGAGCAGGTCTGTAATGGCTTGGGAGTGAATACGTGTCACGTACCCGACTTCTGAATCGGAGAGATGCCTCTAGACTGCTCGATGATGATACATTCCTTATCTGCCGCCACATCGTTTGTATAAAACGTCTGTGCTCGCAATACTGAAGAGTCAAAGGTGTCGAGGAGCACCACACCTTAAACATTTGCATGAATACACGACAAAGTATAATAATTTTGCGTGCTAACTTAGTTGGGGGAGGGGCCGCGGCGGCGCGGCAGTCTGCTCACCTGGGCTCTCT